AAAATAAAAAGTGACTTTTTTGATACTTGTAATTGACCTATACCATTTAGATAATACTTATCTATTTTTTAAAAGCCTAATGGAAACATTAGTTTTACTTTGTGTCCTTTTAGGTTCTACAGCAGCATAGAATTAGGTTTGTTTATTACCTTAGGTATCATCTGGTTTATAATTTCCTTATTTTGCATATGGTTAGATTGATCCATAGGAAGGTTTAATATCTTGCTTGCTATCATTTTCTTAATTTGGGGTTATAAGGATGTGAATAAGAAAATGAGCTACTCAGAGATATTTTAATTCCAATGTAAAGAACTTAATTTAGAAAGGAATTGCATTCAGTGTAGAGTTTAGGAAATCAAACTCTTTGTTCTCATCATTCTTTTTTTTACACTGATTAATCTATTACTCTTGACTCATAGCTCAGATGCTGTATATTGATTTCCATTAGAACAGTTCAATGTCAATTTTATTTAATTAGTAAAGATTTTCCATAGGATGATATATGGTTACCCAGTTGAAAGCAGGAGTTAGATAAACTATTAACGTATCTGATGCAATTATGGATTAGATTTTACTATGGATGCTGTGGGAAAAAACTAAAGTTTCTTTACTGTGGTGTTCCATGTGGCTTTTCTCAGGGTGTTTACAAAGAGAAACCTTTTTCAGATTTCTGTTAAATAGTTGCTATCATATTAATCAAGTTTTGTTTCAGTCTTGAGTTGTGATGCATTGTGATTTAGCTATAGATTTAATCAGTGTATATCTTTTTTTTGGATTTTGTGATGCTGGTAGTTTTGAATGGGTGCTAGTGGGTAGGAGATGGGGGCAGTTTGCTGCTCAGCAGAGCATCTTTGTAAAACTGGTCCTGGCCTAAGAGTTTACCTTTGTGAGACATGCATTCACGTTGTTCTGATAGGAAATAATACATGACTGCACCCTTCTTAAAGCTGAGTTGCTGTGAGTGGTCACTCAGCTACCATCATTCGGTACACTAAATTAATTCCAGTGAATTAATTGTTATTAAAGCAGGCAAGTATGCATTGAAATTCTGTGTTAACATAAGACTTATCATGTTAATTTAATAGTTGCTGTGGTGAACGCTATAACTTCTTCGTCAGGGATATATTAAAAAGTCATCTTAAATCTCTGTGTATGTGGCCGGGGGGATTCATATCTATAGCTTTTAATCAATGCTGCACATAGAAGGACTTGGAAATGCCTCCCAGACTACATGGTGAAACACGTAATCTATTTCCCCGCCTTATAAGCCCTCGTTTGTGTCTACAGATTGTGATTCTTGACGAATTTGGACTGGTACTAGGTTGTATATATAGAATATACTGATTCAAAAATAGGTGGGAGTTCTCTACATTGTATTTCCTTCCTAGTTATTCATCTTTAATTTAATTAATTTTCAAAAGAAGTAATTACGGCACAGAATACTTTTCTGAATGTGCCTCTTGAGAAACAGTTTTATAATGTACATGTTGATTTTCCAAAATACAAAAGAAGGAGAAAAAAAGATTATATATATAAAAAGAAATTGGTTCTAATTTGGTTTGTCATTTAAAAAATATAAAGATAATTAATATGCCAATATGTGTATTTTCTACCATATTAATATGTTTTAAAATAAAACATTTTAAAAAAATTTTTAATTCTATTTAAAAATAAAAAAGTCTTTAATTTTGGAATGCAACGATTTCAAAAGCAAAGAAAATGAAGTGATACATTTACATAAATGAACACCTAAGAATACTGTGAAGTTATTTCCCTGCTGATATAAATGACATT